GAAATCCGGCTGATTTCTAGTTGGTCTTAAGACTGTGTTGTTATAAGGCATACAAATTATCCATGTCAATATCATTCTCCCCTTCTTCATTCTGCAGCTATCTCCTCCTCCTCTTCCCCGTGTTTTTGTTCTTCCCCCATTCAACCATTTTGTTTACAACATTTTTTAAATTATTTTCCATTGCATCCTTGTGGTGAAGTAATTTATCACACCTGCAATAAATGCAAAAAAAATGTACATAAAAAAACATGTTTTTCCGTCTTTATATCAAGCATGGCCAAGGGGTCTGTCAATGCAAGTACCAAAGTATTAAGTTAAATAATTCTTATTTGCCAAGGCAAAAGAATAGTTAAATGAAGTTAATATTTATAATGAAATCACATAAATCTATCTAATTTAATATTATTGTAGAGAAAGTAATAAAATGTACTTATCTTTTTATCTTTTTCTGTGAAAATAATGAACAGTTTTGTACCACTGCAATGTCTTCAGTTTCTTGTTAGTACTAAATTCTATTAAGTTGTTTTACACTGAATTTTACAATTTTAAATTCAGCCAATGACCAAACAGATTTCAAGATAGTAAATGGGCTGTTTATTATGCTTTGTTGAAAGATTTACATGGTTGACCTGCTAGCCTCAACAAATTGTTTAATCTGAGTACAGAATCTGCTATAATAATTAAAATCTAACTACTTTGTAACATGATACCCAACACTCAGGCTGTGTTCAAATAAACTTTGTCTTTATTTCATTGACTTCTTTCAAGAATAATTTATTATTTTTGCTTTAAAGATTTACATTTACTGGCTTTTGGGGGAGGGTGGGGTGAGAGGATTCCATTTATATTATATACAGTACCGGTACATTAAAAAAAATATTATTTTAAGACTTTAATATTTATTTGTAATAAAACTAATATAGAACAAGGGAAAATTCTACTGGAAACTAGATGACATATTCTGAGCCGAAATTTATTGTGTTGATATTTTGAGGCATTTGGCCAGTTGGATGTGGGCCACTGGCCCAGATATTGCAAACTTTTCACATAATATTATTTTTTCAAATGTTTTGAATATAAAACAAAAAATTTAAAACTGTTAAACAAACTGACAAGATATTCTTAGATACCAGTTTAATTCATCAGTAGTGAGCCAATAGTTGCCAAGTGTTAGCCAGACTATGGCCCACATGTGGCAACATCTGTCTGGATGTGGGCCACATCCAGCCAGATGCTGCCAGATGTGGGCCATACTTGGGCCAAAGCTGAGTGGCTGTCTGGGGATGGTATCGATAGTTGATGTTAATAAATGTCTAATTAATAATTTATATAACATTAAAGGCCCAAAGAAAGATTTAGCTCTTACATAATGCCCCTTTAAAGTGGGTTAGACGAGACAAGTAATGGGTTGAGCATTATTCAAACATAATTCGATGTATATCTGTATTATACGAAATGTATATCTTTTTAGAGCTAGCACGGAAGACTTTGCTGATCGTGCGCGTATTATGGGGCCCGAGAACCCCCGGTTTATGTTTTTATTCAGAGTAAATATATGAAAAAAGACGAAAGATCTTTTTTGAAACAAAATCTATTTGTGTTATAGAATTAGACGTATATGAGGCAGACTTCTTTTTGTTCTTTTACAGATTGTTTTACGATGTTTGCTGCAACGAGGCCGTATTGTCATTCCTAAAAGTTCGTCTCCCGCTCGAATTAAAGAAAATTTTAAAGTAAGTTTTAACTGCGTTTACGTAAAACAGAAGACATCAGTAGTGGAACCATTGTGGTGTTAATCCTATTATTATTTTAGTTATGGGGTTAATCCTTAAATTTTGTTATGGGGTTAATCCTATTATTATTTTAGTTATGGTGTTAATTCGTATTATTATTATTTTAGTTATGGGGTTAATCCTTAAATTTTGTTATGGGGTTAATTCCTATTATTATTTTAGTTATGGTGTTAATTCGTATTATTATTATTTTAGTCGTGGGGTTACTTATATTATTAGTTTAGTTTTGGGTTTAAACTTTTCATTGTCTTAGTTATGGTGTTAATTCCTATTATTATTTTAGTCGTGGAGTTAATCATATTATTACTTTAATTTTGGGTTTAAACCTTTCGTTATTTTAGTTGCGGGGTTAATCCTTTTATTATTCTACTTATGAGGTTAAACCTTTTATTATTTTAGTTGCGGTATTAATCCTTTTATTATTCTAGTTATGAGGTTAACGCTTTTATTATTTTAGTTATGGGGTTTCGGGTTAATAATTTTATTATTTTAGTTATGGGTTTAAACCTTTCGTTATTTTAGTTGCGGGGTTAATCCTTTTATTATTCTAGTTATGAGGTTAAACCTTTTATTATTTTAGTTATGGGGTTAAACCTTTTATTATTTTAGTTATGAGGTTAACGCTTTTATTATTTTAGTTATGGGTTTTCGGGTTAACAATTTTATTATTTTAGTTATTGGATTAAGCCTTTATTATTCTAATTATGAGGTTAATCATATTATTATTTTAGTTATGGAGTTCATTATTTTATTATTTTAGTTGCGGTGTTAATCCTTTTATTATTTTAGTTATGAGGTTAACGCTTTTATTATTTTAGTTATGGGGTTTCGGGTTAACAATTTTATTATTTTAGTTATGGGATTAAGCCTTTATTATTCTAGGTTAATCATATTATTATTTTAGTTATGGAGTTCATTATTTTATTATTTTAGTTGCGGTGTTAATCCTTTTATTATTTTAGTTATGAGGTTAAACCTTTTATTATTTTAGTTATAAGTTCATCATTTTATTATTTTAATTGTTGTATTTTATATAAAAGACAGATTTATTATTATTTTATTATTATTTTAGTTATTTGACACTGAATTGAATGAAGATGAGATGAAGCAAATGGCGGCATTAGACCGAAATTTAAGAGTTTATACAGATCCCATGTAAGGATAAATATATATGAATATCTATTGTGTTTTGTCCGTCAAACCACCAATATATTCACCACTAAAACTGTATGATCGGTTTTTGTTTTTACAAATATTCATGAGTTTCAGATTAACGACCCTGAAATTTGATGATTCAAAGGAATTAGGTCTCGAAGTTTCGTTCTGTTCCGTTATTGGAGATTACACGGAATCCAAGTGTCCCAGACAATGTTTCGTTGGAACAACCAAAGAAATTATTCATGTGTGTAATAGAGTTATGTTGGACTAATTGTCATCGGCAAATCGAAATAGCCAAATTTGGTTGTATTGTTATTTGTTTCTTTTTCGCATCATGGTGTGTTTTGTTTATGGATGTCGAACGTGTACCATTTGTTGGAGGATAAAAATATTAATATATAACCATAGGCGTACGGGGAATTTTTTGACTGGGGGGGGGGGGGGCGGTGGTGGTTGGTGCCCAAAAAATGTAGTTAGGTTCTTAGTATGTTACATAATAATAATAAATTCGCTGTTAAATTGGACACATTCAAGAACACAATATTTTTTTTTATACAACTTTTACAAAGTACGATTGTGTGCCAAATTTTCCCAGCATTTGGTGCCCAAAATGAGGGGGGGGGGGCAGCCGCCCCGCAGCCCCCCAGCTCGTACACCTATGTTAATATAACTCTTACAAAATGCTTGGTGTCTTGTATTATTTCAAAACTGTAGAATGTGTCGTTTCCAACGCGGATCTCTAGTAAAAAAAAAATCCACTTATCTACATGTAGATAATAAAGGTAACTAAATAAAAACTATCAAAATATTTACTGAATATCTGTCAATTAGTAATCCAAAGGCGAAGTGTTTCTCTGAGGTTTTGGATGGGCAAAATACAAAATAATTTTTACTTGGCTCCGTTAATTTCGAAATACCAGAAATGTGCATTCTTAGCCACACCCTCCAGAATATCATGGATGAGCGTATGACATACCAAATATCGGTTCCATCAGATTTTGTTGATAAATTTGTCCCCATTTCTCGTACTCATTCTGTATATGATGACTGGAACTTATAATGTAAAAAGATGTTTAATGTTGTTTATTTCAAATCTGCCAGTCATCCGGAATATCCCTTTAACGATTTCTGAGATCAAATAAATGATGCAATAAAATAGATTTCACCATTTCACGACTTTTACTGTACACAATATACTAAAATAAAATAATTTATATAGTATTTGTTTGAATAAATTGCAAGTGAGTTACCTTCCTTGCATTCCAAACCGACCAGCCCCAAGTTTAATTCGCCGAATAATGGTAAGAAAATGAAGACAAAGATATGCCATACTGGGGAAATATTGCCCGCTTACTCTTCATTGAACTCCAGCTGTTACAGGTCCTTTTACTTCCATGCCAACAGATACATGTGGTAGACTCTCCATCCTGGACCAGCTGCAAGGGAAAGCCAAGCTGGAAAATCCCAAGGAAATTTCTCGGCCAGTCCTGGGATGAACCACAGAACTCTGGTAAGAATGAATGAATGAATGAAATGGGGTTTAACGTCCTACTGTTCTGCTCCTATGCTGGGCTAATGAAGACGGGCATACACCATACAGTGTGCTATGAGGGAAATTTTGCCCGGGCAGCGGCACTATCGCCTACTCTTATATTGAATTCCAACTGCCAAGGGATCTTTTACGTGCATTCTAATGTATACACGGGACCTCAATTTTTCGTTTCATCCGAAGGACTAGACAGCTGTCCTTGTCAGGCCCTCCGTTCTGCACCACTGACAAGGGGAAACCACGTCGGAAAATCCAGATGAACTTTCTCGGCCAATGCAGGGATCGAACACCCGACCTCCAGGCTAGCGATCCAGCGTCTTACCCACTTAGCCACGTGATCCCCCCACCTCTGGTAAGTGAACCAGTGCCATTTTGTGCTCAGGTCTTGTCACATACACTGTTTATTTGGCAACCATGACTAAGGATAGCGACAAAAGGTGGCTGTAGGATTAAACCCTTCCCCATCAACACCGCAACTCCATACAAAAGAAAAATGCCAATTTACAGTACAAATAATGTATTTATTTACATGATGCATGAAAAGACATTTAAAACTAATAGACCAGTGGCATGCTGAGGTACTTTTTAGGCAACAACAAATTTTGCAGCTGCCTTCCCAAGATCAGAACAAGGAATAAGCCTCTTTTTCACGGTAGCCATAGGACATATTCTGGGCTCTGCCACTGGCAGTTGCCCACACCCTGCATGCCACTGGGAATAGACAATAAATAATCATTATTGATGATAATAATTTTAAAAGAAATGTTTCCATAATTCTCTACCAAATACAAACAACATAACAAAAGAGATTTATGTGAAAAAATCAAAATGCTTTAGATTTAGTTTGGAGCTCATCAAACACATCAGTCTGGACTAAATCAAAATAATACTCCCCATACAAAATATCAACTCAAATATGCAATACATAGTTTTATATAATAAAAAAATATTTTGTTGGGTATTTCACACCATAAATTTGAATCAAAAGCTGTTTGGTCTTTCATAAAATTTGTAAGTGTTATATAATATTTAGTTGGGTATTTCACACCATACATAAAATCTAAAGTTGTTGGGTCTTTCACAAAAAAGTCTACACACATTTCCTAATCAACCAGAAAATCCTATACAGATGATGTAATGTAAGACATGAAACTAATACTAATATTGCCAATGTTTTAACAGTATCAATATTCTTCACAACATGATTTATACAATGTAGACAAACATTTAATACACAACTACATGAATTTACTATTAATCTAATGGATATCGCAGATGAGAACAAATTTGATCTTTTTTTTTTTTCGTTAGTGTTTTAAAGATGCATTATGTGAGATTTAGATGAAGAGCTGACAATTCTTGCCATAATAGTTTAAAAATAGATATAATTTTTTTTCAGTGAAATCACTTTATTCTGAGCAAATTTATGAGAGTGTGAAGTTTTTACAATATAGTCTTGAATGTCAGGCCCCATTACTACTACTATATTAAATAAAGTCTTGATTATCTATTTTTACATTAAATTATTGTGTTTTAATCCATATAAAATCATGGCTAACCGCTGGTCTAGAGAGTTGATTGTGAACTTGTCAAGTGAATAAATGCCTGATTAAAGATATGTTAAGATCTAAATCTGCCTATTGCAGGTCTTTATTTTGGCTTCAAATGTTATATAAACTATTATTTAGACATTTATTAACCTGTAAAGCCTATAATCAGCTCTCTAGATCATTAGATAGCCCAGATTTAAATGGATTAGAGAGGCCACAAGATTTTCAAATTTTAAAGATAAAATGGATAATCGAGACTTAGTCTCATTTGTCCAGTACCTTTGCTATGATAATAAACAATCTAAGCTACATCTTCCAACACTCATAACTTTGCTCAGAATAAAGTAATATAGATATATTTATTTTTCATTATCAATTTTTGAAATATTACAGCCAGATAGGTCAGCTCCTTATCTAAATGTTACATAATGCATATTTAATAATTTATATAATATTTGAAGCAAAAAAAACAACCCCAAAGATCTGCAATAGGTAGATTTCGCTCTTACATAATCCATCTTTAATGTTAGTTAATGCCATGAGCAACATTAGTGCTTTATAATTTTTACTTTGATTCTCTATTAGTCTAATTTTAGCTACAGTGATTGGTTTAAATCACTCTTGCAAGAACCAAATTGCCTGTTCATTGGCTGAATGAAAGGTCAGACTAGGTCACAAACTTCTTTATAAATCTATGTAAGTCAGCATAATCTATGTTTTTGAACATACTAATTGTTAAATATTCCTACCAACTTAGAAATTCTAAAATTTTAACATCAGATACTAGCCATATTATCGTATAATGTCCGCGTTTATTTCTCTATAACATCACTTAGTGTAAACACATGTTACTTTACTTGCCAACTAATGCCAGAATTCAAGTTTTCAAACCGTATATTTGAGAAATATGGAGATTTGTAAGATTATGTCTATAGATGGCCATAATATAATATTTTCAAATTAATATAAATTTTGCTCATATTATTAAATATATCAGAGTAGAACAAGCTACAGTGTATACACTAACCTACTTTATATTATTAAATATATTAGTTTATACACTATTTTATATCATTAAATATATATTAGAGTAGAACAAGCTACAGTGTATACACTATTTTCTATTGTTAAATATATCAGAGAAGAATGGGTTATAGTGTATACACTAACTAATATATCAGAGTAGAACAGGCGACAGTGTATACACTATTTTCTATTGTTAAATATATCAGAGCAGAATGAGTTATAGTGTATACACTAACTAATATATCAGAGTAAAAGAGGCGACAGTGTATACACTATTTCCTATTGTTAAATATATCAGAGCAGAATGAGTTATAGTGTATACACTAACTTAAATATCAGAGTAGAACAGGTGACAGTGTATACACTAACTATTTTCTATTGTTAAATATATCAGAGCAGAATGAGTTATAGTGTATACACTAACTTAAATATCAGAGTAGAACAGGTGACAGTGTATACACTAACTATTTTCTATTGTTAAATATATCAGAGCAGAATGAGTTATAGTGTATACACTAACTAATATATCAGAGTAGAACAGGCGACAGTGTATACACTATTTCCTATTGTTAAATATATCAGAGCAGAATGAGTTATAGTGTATACACTAACTTAAATATCAGAGTAGAACAGGTGACAGTGTACACACTAACTATTTTCTATTGTTAAATATATCAGAGCAGAATGAGTTATAGTGTATACACTAACTTAAATATCAGAGTAGAACAGGTGACAGTGTATACACTAACTATTTTCTATGGTTAAATATATCAGAGCAGAATGAGTTATAGTGTATACACTAACTGATATATCAGAGTAGAACAGGCGACAGTGTATACACTATTTCCTATTGTTAAATATATCAGAGCAGAATGAGTTATAGTGTATACACTAACTTAAATATCAGAGTAGAACAGGTGACAGTGTATACACTAACTATTTTCTATTGTTAAATATATCAGAGCAGAATGAGTTATAGTGTATACACTAACTTAAATATCAGAGTAGAACAGGTGACAGTGTATACACTAACTATTTCCTATTGTTAAATATATCAGAGCAGAATGAGTTACAGATACACCATTTTGTATTGTTAAATATATCAGAGAACAATGAGTTACACAGTGTATACACTATTGTTAAATATATCATAGTACTCATTTTCTATTATTAAATATATCAGAGTAGAATGAGCCACAGCATATAGCACCAACCATGCCAGCCTGGTTAATTTTTGACACACTGATAAGGCGCATTGTTAAGATATTTCACTACTTATTTCTGTTGCTGCAATACAATGAAAATAATATGTAACTTACTGCATGTCTCTGCAACAGAATTAATTAGTGTTAAGCTGACAACTATGTTCATCAGCCATGTTTGAAACTAAATATTGCCTGGATAATCAAGACTATATTTATGTATATCATAGAGCGACAAGTAAGTAGAATTATCTTGATTAACCAGGCACTGACACCTATGTTTGACAGCCATGTTTGAAACTAAATATTGCCTGGATAATCAAGACTATATTTATGTGTATGATAGAGCGACAAGTAGTAGAATTATCTTGATTATCCAGGCACCGAAACTGACACACATCCACAAAACTGGCAATATACAAGTCAATGATAAATACTGCCTAACTGATTTTAAAACTGTTGATCGCCATTTGCAAATTTCAGACAATATCTAATTTTTTCAAGGCTTAATCCATGCTCGATTAATTAACATTAAATTAGGAAAACAAATTGAAAATATCAATGGTCGATAATCTCCCGGCTTGTATTAAATTAAAGAGTCATCCAAATTTTTTACCCAAAACTTATATGTGGTGCTGGCTTGTATATATGGTTTGCCAAGGATGATGAATGTTGTCAAATTTGCAATTCATATGTTTATAAATACAGAATGGAATTGAACCATTTTTGGGACTGATATTCCTATTAGAGATTCAGCTTTCATAATATTGTAGTTGGCAAAGGATTCAAAATCCCTCTAATGAAAATCAGCTGCTTTAAGTTACATTATATTGTTAAGACATTAAAGTTTCCATGAATATATGTTACATTTGAGTACGCAATACTCACTCAGCAAACCTTGGCAGAATGCAGTACCCTCCATCTAGTCCCGACTATATGATGGTAAGGGATATGTACCCAGGGCTGTAGCTAGCGGGGCGGGGCAAGGGAGCCCGAACCGCATCCTTTCTATTGGATGCAATACGAGGCCAACGACCAACATGCTCATATAAGCTAGCGGAGCAGGGCGGGGCAAGGGAGCCTGAACCGCGTCCTTTCCATTGGACACATTACGAAGCCAACGACCAACGTGCCCATATCAGTATGGGCGCCCCATAAAGCTGAGTGACATTGGGTGGGCTGCCTCCCTTGCCCACCACTAGCTACGGGCCTGGTACCTACATGTACACCCATACAATTGTGATGCGGCTACCGATTTAAACATACATTATGCAAGAGCTAAATCTGCCTATTGCAGGTTTTTCTATAGGCCTGAAATGTTATATAAACTATTAGATATTTATTACCATGAAAAGACCGTAATCAACTCTTGACGCCATCTTATGTGTTCGCTTTTCACTGAATTTGAATCCGACCGCTGCACAACACTCATTGATGATTAAATGCAAAAATGAATAATCAAGACTAAGTTTTTTTTAAGGTATTGACTTAAGTAATGATGATCGAGGATATGCCTAAAATTCAATAGCTAATATCACGGTTCAGAGTGGAGCAATTTGACTGAAATTTTCAGCATATTTCCTTTGCATTATCTAGTTTTTAACTATTATAGTGAGAACTGCCAGCTCTTTATCTCATTTTCCATAATACCCATTTAATTATTAGGAAAACTTGCCACTTTTAGAAAGAAGTTCTCAAAATAGCATCATTCGAAGTGTGTTTAGAGTTTTCGCTGCAAAATTGTCCTTAAAGAAAATCAGATAAACTTGAAAGAAAAACAGCTTCCGACATTGAAAGCTTTGTATGAATGATAAAACACTTTTCACAGGCGTCTTCATTAGTGCCACCATTTGTAATTCGGGAACTTGAAAGTAGTTCCAATGGTGGAATTCGTCATACAGACAAGGCTAGATGTAGGGTATTGGAGTCTGCCTAAGTTTGCCGAATGCACAATACTCTGACAATAACTCTGCAGAAAATGTCTTTGCAAAATTTCACAACTTGTTTCTTCAAAGATCGACACAGATTAAGTTTCCTCTCAATAAAACTGTCATAATTTTGTTCTTTTTTTACACGCGGAGTATTTCCATGTTATTATTATAGCATATTGATATCCAGTCAGGTTGCGTTGACGACCATTGGATTTGATTTATCTCCCCTGCTGCTGTGTACGCTAATATTGGATCTTCTATAGCTCTCGGCATTTGTTGTATATCCCATATTAATGCCTGATGATCATCAGCTAAAAAGTCAAAGATCAGTAATGTTTATCAAAATATTGAAATAATTTTTTGGGATGTGAATTTATCTCAGATTAATGTACGTAACATTAAGGTTTGACTTTAATATTGTGGTGAAGTGACAAATACACCCACCAGCAAAAAAGCTGTTCATATTAGCTCTAAAAACAGACTCGTGTGACAACATTATACACCCACATTTGACCAATAAGACACTCTTTCCTTATCAGCCTTGCATGTGCCTACCTTGACAATGAAGGAACTGCTTGACATATTCAGGTGGTTCTTCTTGGCCCAGAAACATTACAATGACTGGGTTAATGAAGATGGGCATGTACCATACAGTGGGCTATGAGTGAAACTTTGTCCATCCAGCGACACTACGATCTACTTTTTTTAAAATTCCAACTGTCAAAGGTTATTTTACATTCATGCCAATGTATACACGTGACCTCATTTTTGGTCTTGTCAGTACAGATTTTCTCTACCAACACCAGGAGTGAAATCGAGACCTGCTGGTTAGTGAGAGAGAGAGAAATGGGGTTTAATGTCCACTCGACACAAACTAGGTCATTTTGGGACTAACATATGGTTTAATTTTATTTCAATAATTCACTTGCGCGTAGGGGTCTTTAGCAGTGGGAGGAAACCGAAGAACCTGGAGAAAACCCACGAGATTGGACAGGCGACCGTGCTCCTTGTCACGTACAACCAGGGATTCGAAACCACGCCAGTTGACTCAATGACAGATCGTATGATACAGCATGCACGTGCTAACCATTCGGCCATCCAATCCCCCCTGCTGGTTAGTAAGCCAGTGTCCTACCCACTGAGCCACCAAGTCTCCTAATAATACAAATACTACCACAACATACATTTCACAAAATCTGCAGATATCTGTATTATCGAAATATTCTGGGTTTTCTGCATTGGTTTTGCTAATAAAACGACAGGACATACAACATCAATGTCACAGTTCGTTTGACAGAGCAATAGAATGTTAAACCCCATTTCATTCCATTCAGTACCAGTTTCTAACTAACATAAAATGGAGAGAGAAAGAGCAAGAAATGGGGTTTAACGTCCACTCAAAACAAACTAGGTCATTTCGGGACTAACATATGGTCTGATTTTATATTAATAATTCGCTTGCATATAGGTGTCTTTAGCAGTGAGAGGAAACTGCAGGACATTGGACAGACAACCCTACTCCTTGTTACCTACAAGTGGGGAATCAAAATCACACCACTTGACTCAATAATAGACCTTATGATCTAAAGTGCACCTGTTAAACCCTTCATTTAAAGGCTCAATACCACTCTTGTTGTAACTGAATAATATGTCCCAATCTTTATTCTGGTCAACAAATTGTACTATTTTACAATATTCCAATTAATTGATGATACAAATTCATCTTAACACACCTAATTTAAAAAAATGGAAAATTCAACTAAATGATTTAAAAAGCCTGACGTAAAGCTTTTCAAATGTGACTTGGATTTAAAAATATTATTGAACCCTTTGGACAAGTAAAATAGGATTTAATGGATAATTTACACAACAGGTAGGAAACTAACACATATAGTACTTAGAATAAGGCTATTTTTTATATTTTCTGGAGCTGTCAAGCCAGCAAGAGTGTTATTGTCCCTTTAATCAATATCTATAGATGATTTTAAAAATTGTACTTACCAGCAGTACAGATATGGCAACTTGAATGTGGAGCCCATGTAATGGCATTGATACAGGCTCTATGATTGTTGAGACGGGCGACTGGGGTACAGGGAACTCTTACATCTAATATAATACACTGGAAAAACAACACATATATATATATACAGTAAGAAAAGATCATAAAATCCTTTAAAAAAAATATAACGTGGGACAGATTTTTATTTTGTCAAATGGGGAGCCACAGTAACTAGGTGCATATTACACTTGCTTGCTAATCAGGAGGTTAATGAAGACAGACATACGCCAAGCAGCGAGATATGTGGGAAATTTTGCCCAGGCAGTGGCGCTACAACCTACTCATATTTCGAATTCCAACCGTCAATGGTTCATTTACATACACGCCAATGTGTACACAGGACCTCCAGGAACCACACAAGAAAAATCATGAAGACCTCTCTCGAGGGGCCAACAGATCGAAAAGTGGACCTCCAGGTTAGTGAGCCAACGTCTTACTCACTTAGCCACCTTGGCTCCCTAAATGCCCGTAAAGATTTAGGATTAATTACCAACCTCTTGTGCTTCCATGGCCATTGTACATAAATAGTTAGGATCTTGTTTATTCCAGGCCAGACGTAATAAAGGGTTGTGTTGGGGATCTTCGTAGATTATTGTAGAATGTTCCAAATGTCGTAAATCAAACATTCGTACAGAACCATCAGCACCTAAAACAATATAATATGACATATATTTACATCAAATACACTTTAAAAAAAAAAAATAATGTTTTTTCTTCTTGTTGAAGTAACTCATTAATTCTTGTAAACATGTCATAACTCATTAATTCTCATATTATGGAACTTATCAACACTGTATACTAATAAACATGTCATAACTCATTAATTCTCATATTATGGAACTTATCAACACTGTATACTAATAAACATGTCATAACTCATTAATTCTCATATTATGGAACTTATCAACACTGTATACTAATAAACATGTCATAACTCATTAATTCTCATGTTATGGAACTTATCAGCAATGTATACTAATAAACATGTTATAACTCACAAATTCAAAGTATTCTTGTACTATGGAACTTACCAATACTAGTAAAATTATGTTATATCTCATTAATTATGAGTATTTTTGTAGTATGGAACTTTAACAACAGTAAAATTATGCTATAACTCATTAATTATAAGCATTTTAGTAGTATGGAACTTACCAACACTAGCAAACATATCGCGACCACCACCAGCTCTACTAAATGCAATATCGTAAACTTCTTTATCATGAGCTATCAACTGTGTCTTTACATGACCTGATACCATATTTACTCTTCCTAAAACTTGACCTGTCTTTAGATTTAAAAAAAAATCACATAAATACATATAATCAGTTGATTATAGTCAACTACAGTTGTCTGATGTTTGAAAAAATAATTGATAAAACAATGAACCAGATACAATAATATCTTAAATCTATCTGGAATGAAATGGGGTTTAACATCCTACTGTTCTGTTCCAACTGGGATAATAAAGGCTGGCATACATCATACAGTGTGTTATTGGGGGAAATTTACCTTTGCAGCGGCACTATGGCCTATTTTTATATTGAATTCCAACTGCCAAGGGACCTTTTACAAGCACACTAATGTATACACGGGACCTCAGTTTTTTGTACCATCCGAATGACTAGACAACTGTCCTTGTCAGGTCCTCTGTCCTGCACCGCTGACAGGGGGAAACCACGTCGGAATAATAAACCAATCTACTATCGGCTCAGTTACAAAGAGTTTATTAATACAGGTTGTAATCATAAATATTATTCAGAATACAATATACTATATAAAAGTGAAATGAAATGTGGTTTAATGTCCTACTTTTCTGCACTGACACTGGTCTAATGAAGATGAGCATCAAGCGACACTACGATCTACTCTTATTTCGAAGTCCATCTGTCAAGGGTTCTTTTACATGCATGCCAATGTATACACGGGACTCCATACGGTGTGCAATAAGAGAAATTTAGCCCAGACAGCAGCACTATGGCCTACTCTTACGTGTATATTGAATTCTGTCAGGGTTCTTTTATGTGCACTCCAATATGTATAATAAAGATACCTACCTCTAATCCCCAGATAGTACAAGTTGTATCAATACTAGATGTACCTAATAAATTAGGATCAACTTCATTCCAATCAAATGATGTTAGAGGTGCACAGAAATCAGAATTCTTATTCTATAAAGAAAACAAAGCAAAATCATAACACAAAAATGACAGTTAAGAAGAATAATATTAACAGCCATGATGTCTTAATAACCTTGCTTCTAAAATATTGGCTTTTCTTCAGGAGATCTTCAAACACTTTTATTTGTTGAAAGTAAATTACATTTATAAATAACGAAATGAAATGAAATGGGGTTTAACATCCTACTGTTCTGCTCCTAAACTGGGCTAATGAAGAAGACGGGCATGTGCCATACAGTGTGCTATGAGGGAAATTTTGCCCGGGCAGCGGCACTATCGCCTACTCTTATATCAAATTCCAACTGCCAGGGGATCTTTTACGTGCATTCCAATATATACACGGGACCTCGGTTTTTTGCCTCATCCAAAGGACTAGACAGCTGTCCTTGTCAGGCCCTCCGTCTTGCTTCACTGACAAGGGGGAACCACGTCGGAAAATCTGGATGAATTTCTCGGCCAATGCAGGGACCGAACACCCGACCTTCAGGCTAGCGAGGCAATTCTTACCCACTTAGCCACGTGATCCCCTTTATAAATAACACAATATAACATAACTGTTTGGTATGCCGAGATCATTTGTACCCAATGTACATAGGTTAAAGTCTCTGATCAACATATGAGGGGGCTTTAATCCATTATAAACAACAACATTAGGAAAGTGGAATCTTTAATGGGAATATCAGTCCAATAAAGATATGATGAATTGAATTATTGAAACCTTGTCAACATTCTGCATCCTCTGTAGATGATAAACACGTCGCATGTACATGTACTGGTACACCAAAAAAACATGTTCTGGTACACCAAAAATACATACATGTAATCGTACGTCCAAAATACATGTAATGGTACACTGAAAATACATGTACTGGCACCGGTACACTGAAAATAAATCTACTGGTACTGGTATACTGAAAATACATGTACTGGTACACAGAAAATACATGTACTGGTACATCAAAAATACATGTACTGGTACATCAAAAATACATTTACCATATTTTTCGGGGTATAAGTCAATACTTTTTTCCGCCAAAGTCCGGTCTTATATAGAATTTCAACTGCCAGGGGATCTTTTACGTGCATTCCAATATATACACGGGACCTCGGTTTTTTGCCTCATCCGAAGGACTAGACAGCTGTCCTTGTCAGGCCCTCCGTCTTGCATCACTTACAAGGGGGAACCACGTCGGAAAATCTGGATGAACTTTCTCGGCCAATGCACTTAGCCACTTAGCCACGTGATCCCCTTTATAAATAACACAATACAACATAAGTGGTTGGTATGCCGAGATCATTGTACCCAATGTACATAGGTTAAAGTCTCTGATCAACATATGAGGGATCTTTAATCCATTATAAACAACAACATTAGGAAAGTGGAATCTTTAATGGGAATATCAGTCCAATAAAGATATGATGAATTGAATTATTGAAACCTTGTCAACATTCTGCATCCTCTGTAGATGATAAACACGTCGCATGGTTTTGATTTCTTGCTTGTACAAATGTATGTGACAAGGAGTAGGGTCGCCTGTCCAACCTCGTGGGTTTTCTCGGGACCTTAGGTTTCCTCCCACTGCTAAAGATCCCTATGCGCAAGCAAATTGTTGAAATAAAATTGAACCATATGTTAGTCCCAAAATGACCTAGTTCGAGTTGAGTGGACGTTAACCCCATTCCTTTCTTCTCTCTCTCTATTTCATTAGTTTGCTTTGCAGTCGAAAGAAATCTGGAGAACCCACTGGGTTTGGCAGGCAACCTGACATATTGTACAAGCCTGGGATCAAAACCAGGCGACTCAATGACAGACCTTATAATCTAAAGCTCAAGCATTAAACCATTTAGCCCCAACCCCAAAATAGTAAACAATAAAATCTTACATTATTTAGCAGACATTCTAGTCTGGTATCTGTATCACCAACACGCCAAACACGTAAATAATCACCACTAGTTGCTAATAGATCAGGAAATACTCCTTTCTAGAAAAAAAAACATCATAGGTAATTAATGGTTACCAATAAATCTAAGTTGACTTTGTTAAAATACCAGTACACTGAAAATACATGTACTGGTACTGGTACACCAAAAATACATGTACTGGCACACCAAAAATACATGTATCGGTATCGGTACACTGAAAATACTTATATTGGTACTGGTATACTGAAAATACATGCACATGTACTGGTACACCGAAAATATAAGTACTGGTACACTGAAAATACATGTACATGTGCTGGTACACCGAAAATATCCACCTGATACATTTGCCTTATTATTTTTGTTTGCATGTAATGTACATGTATAATATAACATAATTATATGTAGGTATACATGTACTTACTGAGTCAGGTATCCACATAAGTTTAGTTGTAGGGTAGGGATGATCAAATGTACTCTTGGCCATAAACTCTGATGTATCTTCATCTAAGGCAACAATTTGAACCTGTAAATAAAAAAAATAATGACTTGGTCTTATAGTATTTTCGTTTTTAGAATATAGTGCATGCTATTGCTGAAGCAGTCTTACAAGAGTCTAGTGATTACCCATGACCAATTCCATGTCCTACATTGTTTTACCAAAACATTTCTTGTTTTTACAAATCAACAATTTTCAACAGGAATTTGTCTTTTATTTTTTAATAAAATAAAATAAATATATAGAAATATATATTGGGGTTATGGATATAGTTATGTTAGACAAAATGTCTAAACTGAAGTTCTACCTGTCAAATTTCACCGTTTAAGTCTGAGGAACTGTGTCTGATATTGATAGTGGATAGCGTTTTATTTCCAGGCCTCAATGTGTAGGACAATGGGTCGCTAACCTAGAGGTCCCATGGATGTTAGATCCCTGTGCTGACCGAGAAAGTTCATCAGGATTTTCTGGCGTGGTTCCCCCGTATCAGTGGTGCATTTTGAAGCATAAGTCAAGATGCCAAAAGAACGAAAACACAATATTTACAGCAAACAAAAATTATGCGTAGAAACTGAGCTTGGACTAAATAGTGAATTATTGGTACATATGTACATGTAAGCATATCATGGTACACATTCTTCCCAAAAAATTCCTGATGTGGGCATGAAAATATAAAACTGTTGTGTCAGTGATTTAATTAATTATTACCTTGTTGTTATATTCTTCTACAAAGCTACCCAATGCCAGTCTGAATCGTTTATCTGGTCTAACACTCCAGTTCATACTGTACACTGTCCATGGAGCTTCATATTTATATATTTCCTTTCGTTTACCTGGTGGAGCATTTGCGTGATTATGTGGCAGCGTATTCATCCTGTCAAAATACACCATATTAATACATGTATATAACATTAACAATATATAATTCTGTCAATCGTAGTGTATGAATCTGATAGTGAAATAAAAATATATCAAAATAATCTAATTCATCTGAAGTAAATGTGGTGATTCTGGGGACCGGATGGATGTCCGGGACTAAATATACCAGGGTCTATAAATACAACGTCGCCAGCTACACGCGGTCTAGTTTATGTTTACAAAGTATCAAAGTAAGTTATTGTTATCGCTGTCTGAGTTGGACTCAGTAATTATTCCCGAATTATATTATATATATTGCTCAGTGCCACTTTATAACCTACAAGTTTGAAAGCCTATAATTTGCGATGGGTTGCCAGCCTGGTGTAGGCCTACCGGTTTACGTATGAATGTAATTTTTTTTTGCACTGGATTAGTCATAAAATCAGATTTATAAAAATGTCCTAAAATATCATGATTATCTAGGTCTAATCAATTCAATGGAATGGATGGGCGGTAACACTCACATGGTAGCATACAAATTTGAAATTATGACCAATATATTTGAAATGAATAAATACGATTCAATCTGAATGTAAAAGAAATTATAAAATAACAAATTGAGACCTAGATTTAATTTTTAAAAACTAAAATTTCGTCTTCGTTCGTTTTCTTTCTCAGTTTCTCTCCTATCTGACATTATTTTGAGTAATTAAGCTGTAAGAATATAGAAAATTTTATCATTTTTTTGCAATTAAAAGCCAGTCCGATCTGACAACTCCAATACCAAATGTTAAATAAATCTATTAATTAAAAGAAGTTATAATTTACATTTTCTGTAATCTTCTTTTATCTTGACTGTCAACAAAAACAATATGGCGGCCGCTGTCTGCAAATTAGTCTCGAACATTCAGTCATAAATAGCAATGAGTATTGATTATTAGTCTTGATAAGTAAGTCTATAAACCAGGGGAAAGAACTCGAAATTTGACCTATATTTACGACAACCGTTAGTTTTTAGTCTAGACTCATTTTGACAGCTGAACTAACTAGTAATTTACTGAAACGTTTGGGCCTAGCATTTGACAAAATTAAGAAATGACCAATTGTACAGAGAATACCGTGGTTAAAGTGTGCTCACAGAATTCTGATATTCCATCATATATTACCTTTAAAAATGTCACGTCAAGAAAAATGGACGTTTATTGGGTTGATTTTAAAGGAAAATATGTGAAGTACTTGAAGAATTTCAGTCCTGGAAATGTCCATCACATAAATACATTTGTTACACACCCGTGGATAGCTAGAGACTCTGTGACAAATGATGCTCTTATGTTTAATGGCAAAAGTATTTTTTATCCATCGGCATGGAATGGGGAGCAATCAAGAAATGAAATAAGGATACATGTTCCAGGTAACTGGTTTTGTATTATATTTATATAATTCAAGAAGTCATTCAAGTTTGTCCAGAATATTCGGCACTCAGGTGGCAAGGTGTTGTATGCCACCTGTTTGTGCCATGTTCATTACTTGTCAGGCAGTTTTTAAATCGACACTTTCAGGCCTTTTACAGGTATGGTCTATGCCTATAAAGTATTTTAATATATTTATATTGTCATTCAATTTTTTATTTCTACTTTCAGTGTTTAATCTGAAGAATAGATGTATACAAGTGCTGAAGGATTATCTTGCCAAGAATGACATCCCATCGTTAGAAATTCCTCATACACTTATTGAGGAAATGTGTATGAGATCAAACATGACTTTCAGAGAGTACGAAAGAATTATAATTGATTAGCTATCAGTGTTATACTCAGAGACTTAAAAGTGAAAATTCAACTACCACCCAGTAAACCTACAAGATTATGTCATCATATTGGCATGGGAACACTATCTATATGTGTATAAAAACTCTGAAGTAACAATACATGTAGACAGCTCATCAGTATTACTATTAAAGGTTGCAATTTTTTACTTTGCATCAAAATGGACACTGTGGTATTACAACTGAAAAAAAGCTATTGGACTTACACATAGTGTTTAAATCCACTCCGTCTATCTTTAAGCAGCTTGTGGTAATTCAAACATGGTTGGTCCTTTCTCTTTCATCAAGTCAAAATTGATCAACCATTCTATGGAAATGACTATTCCACAAGTAATTTTAATTATATCTAATGCCATTGCTGTTCATTGGGTAGTAGGACTATAAACCACACTGCATTTATTGTTCAGTGCATTTAATGCCACTTATTTTATAAGTGTGGTGTTGAATTTGACCTTTGACCCCACATGTGGGACCACCATTTATTGAATTGTTTTGAAGTGCTCAGAAGTAAACATTGTAAGTTACAGAATTTCAGATTGTTTTCATGTTAAGTTTGGTTTTCTGTACGCACAAAATTATCAAGTTGTTTGATCATTGTTTTCTTTGGGATGTGGTCATAGGCTCTAAAAAAAAAAACGTCTAAAATTCACTATGGTCAAAACGGCCATAATTTGTTTGAAACGGCCAAATCTTTAGTCAAAATGGCCAAATATATTAATGCATAACAAAAACAATATATTATGATAAATTTATAAAAGGAAAATGGATAAAAAGCAGACTGATTCTCATTCATTTGATTAAGGGCCTTTATGTTCATAACCCTTCTCTTTGTTCATAACCCTTCTCTTTGTTGTTCACAATGTCATATGTAGGGCATATACTTACCCGTCCAAAAGTTAGTCACTGGTTTAGGACGAAATCCTATGGTCTATATCTATACATGTATATTACGCAAAGTCTTACGCAAGACCATTAAGCAACTTATAATACATACACGAGTCAAATATTTCATCTACATGTACAATAGTATAAATAATGTACGATTGGGATGTTGCTCATACCATTATTTGAAATAATGGTTAGCCAACATCAAAGGATAATGCCACATTGGTATTTTAAGGAAGTATATGATAGCCTTCCAGTATTAATTTTGCTTTCTTACAATCTTCTGTTAACATCAACATGCAAGTTGGCTGTAACCGGCTATAATTTAATCTTATATATTTAGTCCAAATTTCTTCCGTATTTCTTCAATATCAAATTTACCTGGGTTACGGGGGTTGGATGGCCGAATGGTTAGCACGTGCGTGCTGCGCTGTATCATACGGTCTGTCATTGAGTCAAATAGCGGGGTTTCGATTCCCCGGTTGTACGTGACAAGGAGTAGGGTCGCCTGTCCAACCTTGTGGGTTTTCTCCGGGTCCTCTGGTTTCCTCCCACTGCTAAAAGACCCCTACGCGCAAGCGAATTATTGAAATAAAATTGAACCATGTGTTAGTCCCGAAATGACCTAGTTTGTGTCGAGTGGACGTTAAACCCCATTTAAAAAAAAAAAAAATTCCCGGGTCACAGCGATAATTGGCACTGACCAACCATAAAGCCTTTGTAAATATTCTCTGCACGGACACTAGTTTCTGGTGACCTCAAGAATCTGAATGAATTGTTTGATAGACAGCTATCAGTCAAGAAAGATAATGTTGTTGTACATAAATATTGTAAATAAAAGGGAAACTAGGAGTTGCAACTCGGAGCAGTAGGATGTTTGTTAAACCCCATTTCATTTCAAATCGATTTACTTTTACTTTAAAAGGTGAAATTAGATAAATAGTTATTTGTACTATTACATAAGAGGGGAGTGGCAACTTAAAGTATATTTCTAAGAAAAATTTTTAGGTGGGTACTTGTAGGTCATTTTTAGGTGAATATGGTATGTACATTGCTGGAAGCAAATCTGCTAACTAATGTGTTTGTTTCAATCCTTTTTTAAAAGGAACACATTGAAATATTTCAATACTAACACTATTATATTTACTATGGCTACATGTATATCTCTTCAATTAAATATTCTATTACTGTATATTTTTTGATATCATAATCAAACATGTAATAAAATTTATATTCATTTATTATACATGTGTAAGTTTATTACTGGGGATCGTGGTGGCTAAGTGGGTAAGACGTTTTCTCGCTAGCCTGGAGGTCGGGTGTTCGATCCCTGCATTGGCCAAGAAAGTTCATCCAGATTTTCCGATGTGGTTCTCCTTGTCAGTGATGCAGGACGGAGGGCCTGACAAGGATAGCTGTCTAGTCGTTCGGATGGAACGAAAAACCGAGGTCCGGTGTACACATTGGTGTGTACGTAAAAGATCCCTTGACAGTTGGAATTCGATATAAGAGTAGGCCATAGTGCCGCTGTCCGGGCAAAATTTCCCTCATAGCACACTGTATGGCGTATGCCCGTCTTCATTAGCCCAGTCATTAGCCCAGTTCGGAGCAGAACAATAGGACGTTAAACCCCATTTCATTTCATTTTCATTTCAAGTTTATTACTATTCATTGTAAAAAGTAGGGGGTTGGATGACTGAATGGTTAGCGCGTGCGCGCTGTATTATAAGATCTGTCATTGAGTCAACTGGCATGGTTTCGATTCCACAGTTGTGTGTGACAAGGAGTAGGGTCGCCTGTCCAACCTCATGGGTTTTATCCAGGTCCTCTGGTTTCTTCTCACTGCTAAAGATCCCTACACGCAAGTGAATTATTGAAATAAAAATTGAACTATGTGTTAGTCCCGAAATGACCTAGTTTGTGTCAAGTGGACGTTAAACCCCATCTCTCTTTCTGTCTTGTAAAGATAGGTTGCCAGGCAACAAAACATATGCCCACAGCAGCTAAATCGTTCGGGCAGTCAACAAGTGTTGTCGCATATTTTTACTTTTGTTGGTAATGAAACATTTATCATACACTAAAATCTCATGAAGTAATTATTAATCAATCGGATGATAACTTTAGCCTCTAGAGCATCACAAGATTTTTCAAAGTGATCAAGGGCCATAACTTTGGCAGTAATTATCGGAAATCGTTGAAAATCAATAGGATTCTTTGTCTCATAACCTCAAACACTGTGTATAAATTTAAAGTCAATCGGATATTAACTTTAGCCTTTAGAGCATCCACAAGATTTTTTGAAGTGATCAAGAGCCATAACTCTGGCAGTATTTATCGGAAATTACTGAAAATCAATAGGCTTCTTCGTCTCATGACCTTAAACACTGTGTATAAATTTAAAGTCAATCGGATATTAACTTTGGCCTTTAGAGCGTCCACAAGATTTTTTGAAATGATCAAGGGCCATAACTCTGGTAGTAATTATCGAAAATCGCTGAAAATGAATAGACTTCTTTGTCTCATGACCTTAAAAGTGTATAAATTTAAGGTTAATCGGATATTAACTTTAGCCTACAATATTTTTCAAAGTGATCAAGGGCCATAACTCTGGCAGTAATTATCGGAAATAACTAGGAGGTCTCTTGTTTTGATCCCTGCGCCTGCTGAGAAAGTTAATCAGGGTTTTCGAATTTGTCAGTGGTGCAGGACAGAGGGCCTGGCAAGGAACAACGTATAGTCGTCCTGTGTATACATTGGCATGCATGCAAAAGATCCCCTGGCAGGTGGAACACCATGTTGGTCTATTTTTCTTTTACTTCAGAATTAAACAAAACTTTCAAGTTCAAGAAATTTTATTGTCAATATCATTAAATGTTTGAAAAAGAGCACCATTTAATCACATATATATATATATGGCATTATTACTTTATGCAAACTGTAAGCAAATATTATTGACAAAAAAAAAACAATCCGAAATAATAATATAGACATATTTCTAACAAATACAATAAGAATTCCCAGGGCTTCCACAAAATACCGGTAACTGCTTAATAAATATTCAGTAGGTGGGTGGAAAAATGGGCAAGCGCTTGGATCTCAGTAATAATGATGCAGATGATGCATGTCAAGCAAACATTGTTTAATATTTCATTGTATTCATTGAAACAACTTTCTGGCGAATCAAAGACAAAATAGAAGCAGCATCTATAAACCAATACACAGAAATTGTTCAAAATCAAAAGTATCTCTTTTGCACATCTGTTTTTCACATTTTCGAAAATAATCAACACATTTTGAGCTTACTTTACATCAAATTTCAACTGTTAATAGTTCGTTATGTGCACGTCTATGTTTTCACCCGTGAACCTGAGTATTTTTTGTCTCATCCAAATGACTAGAAAACATATTACTTGCTGTGTTACCCCAGACAAATGGGAACTGGCCTTGAACCATATGGATAGTCTTCTTAAAGCAGAATCAGTCAATTTGTCAATTTAAGATTAATTATATGGTTTTGGTTCTATGGTCATGTATGCAAACTGCAATACTAGTTGAACTTTGCCCGGATGATGGCATTTCACCCGGCTGTTTTGTTGACCTCATTACATTCGTCCAATCTAGGCTACCACCAACAAGGGTGACCGGTCTTGGAGAATTCAAAGTTTGTTCTCGACAAAAGCCCAGATTCAAATCAGGAACAGTCTAATATTGACTCCAGTGCCCTAACCAAATAACTACTGCCCCCCCCCCCCTTTACCCAAATTTTGCAAGATATTACTACTGTCTTACAGAGTCTGTTGCTTTCTGAGATAAAAAAATCCTGTCTGGCTACTTAACAAAACAACAAACAAACAATACATTATACCACACACAAATCCTTATTATCAGTCTATGACTGTCTTAACCCTTAACCGATCTATGTAATTTTGACGTCATGACTTTCAGTGGTCAGGCTAAAGAAAAATATTTTGTATGCCTATTTCAAAAAGACTACTGCCGGATAATTATAAGTGATAGACTCTTGACACCAATAAAAAAGTTGAAGGGGATAAGTTGATCTATTATTTGCACGTTGTCTCTTGTTTTCTAAATCATTTTCATCAGAAACATCGTCTTTAGAATCAGTTTCATCGATATAATCCGAGTCGGAATCATTCATAAGAATTTCAACTACTTTGCCAGACTTTAACCTTCTCGACATCGTTAAATAATTACGGTTTTTGTAAAAAAAATGTTGAACAAAGACATGATTTCCTCAATGCCCTTGACAAGACAAGTTTCTGTATGACACGCATGCGTGGCCATATCAATTAAATACGAAACTAAATACTCAAATGTGGCTTATAAAAAAGGTTCTTACTGTGCTGTATAACGTTATGGTGACTATAGTTGACAAAGACCGGTTAAGGGTTAATTTCATGCAGTAAATTAAATATTCATTATACAAAAGTAACAAAATGTCAGCTCTGGTGATAATACTAATATATATTTCTGTTCAGCACTACCATCAAAGTTTCTTTGGAAGCTAAATGTTCTTCTAAATAGTCTCCAAGGCCTTTTTGATTTAATTCAAAAAAGCTAGAAATAAATGGTTGGATTTCATTGATGGATAAAGTGTGCATTAATTGCCCTATATCTTTGTTACAAATGGTTGCTATCACGTAGGTATGGTTACTGTAAACAAACTAAAGTCTAATTCTTGACGTAATACACTGGTTAAAATAAATTCTGCATTATACACATCTGAAATAAGATAAAATAAAACTACAAATCAGATATATTTATTCCACTAAAGAGGATGGGCATGTACGCCATACAGTGTGCAATGAGTGAAATTTTGCTCGGACAGTGGCACTACAGCCTATTCTTATTTTGAATTCCAAGCGTCACCTATGTGAAGATAGGCCCTTGGCTTTTCGTTCCATCCGACTAGAGACTGTTTTGTGCCAGACTCTCTTTCCGGCATCACTGACAAGGGAAGACCACAATGGAAAATCCTGAGAAACTTTCTCGGCTGGCAGACAACTCAAGATCTCCTGGTTAGCAAGAAAGCATCTTACTCACTGATCCACCATGACTAATCCTGATAATGTTGGGGGAGGGGGTGAAGGGGGAGCGAACAAAAACAGTCAAAGTCTAATTTCCATGTAATAAAATGTTTGAATACTTACTAATTTTTTGTGCGAATAAATCTCGACATAAATGAAGATCATTATTGCAGGTAATTACAATAAATGTTGGTTTACCCTTAAAAAAATAAATATACGATTATTTAGCATATAACATACAGTTTCAATGTCCAAAATAGTTCAGATTAATTCAGTATTGATAAAGATATGATAAATTTAAATTTCACAACATTCGGCATCCTCGCCATAGCATACTATATAAGTAGATAAGTGCCACCTTGAATTGTTGGGTCAGATCTGTTAGGGACTCCTTTTAATCTGATTCAATCCATGTTGGAAGCTTATCAGTGATTTGATATTTTGGCTTAGTTGTCTTAATTAAACGTAAAAAAAATCAACATTTAAACGCAAATAAAGCTCTGAAAAATTATATAGTGTTAAAAAAATGCAGGATCAAGATCGGTAAGATTAACAAAGAAATGTAGTAATTCAAACTGACCTTATCACCCACCATGTTAATAATGGTTTTAGCAGATGGACGTCTGTTGACTACAGTGCCACCTGCACTAACAATAATCTTAGTAAAATCTTTAACGGATGGTACAACACTAGGTGTTAGATAGAAAGTGATACCCTGTAATATACAAAACAGTCTGAGGTAAAATCGTTTCAATATTGTGAAAATTATGTTTTCAAATGAGATGATACCAATCTGATTAAAACATAGATACTATTTCATTTCGTTTTTTATAGTTCAAAATTTCGTTTTGTCTGTAATACACTAGGATCTGGTAGAGTTGTTAAAAACCTGCGTTCTGGATAGCGTGAGGGATTAGCCATTAAACCATCTGTTATGGCGACTTCTCGGCGTGCGATGCATGGAACTGTGGGTAAAGCACTAGAAACGTCAACGCTGATTGATTAATCAATGTCTAACATCACAGGGTCAAAAGCCATTTGTACGACCTCTGATGCAACCTTTTACTACAACTGGTCAGATCTTCACGTAGTGTAGGCCATCGAAAGTATAAAAAAACAAAAAAAAACGAAATATAGATCTGTATTTTAATCAGATTGAGATAAGACCCAATATTGTTTTCTAAAACGTGCAC